CATATCCAAATGAGGGCCATTGGTTTATGTTATTTACCAAATACATGGTTTTAGTTGATGAGACCACCAGCGTGTTTATCTACAGACGCTTATTGTAAGCAAATTTTCATTTCAGACATGGTTGCCTGGCCTAATAAGAAAGGATGAGCTTACATATTTTGAAGTTTGACAATAAAACGGCTCAAATGCCATTACCAATTTAACAATATGCAACCCATACCTTAACCCTATTACTATGAAATATCAAAAAATTAATTTTAAATCTTTTAAATGTATTTAAAATAATTATTATAAAATATAAAATTAAATAAAAATTCTTGTTGCATCGTGTTGTTTATTGTTGTTTTTCTTCTCAGAACATCAAATCTTTAATTTGTATAGTGAGGTGGTTCAGTGAACTCAATAATCATATGTTTCGCGCTGCGTAGTGTCTAGCTTATCTACAGCCATGTGAACTTGAATGGACATCTTGGCGTCAAAATTTTTTATATAAGAATAAATTAGTTTCTGTTGGAATCACACAGGCCCCAAATACACCAAGTAATAACAGGAATAAAAGAACACTAGATTTTACCGGATGTTCACCCAAATTAGGGATAGTCACCCGTTGAGTATACATCGAAGTAGTTATCACTCCAATCCACTAGAAACCAGCAATAATCAACACAAGTATCACAATACAGAAATCAACAAAAGGATTGAGCCCTCAGACCCTAAGTTTTCTCTCAATAAACCCTCGAATGATTACACTAAGTAATCAAAGGTTACGTCAAACAGAGAAACCAGATTCACCACGACAACTCCTTAACTAATACTAGATCTCACCAAAAATATCTAGAATAGAAGATTACACCGTGAAAATCAAAGGTTTTCAGAGAAAGCAAGAGAAGAGAAAACCCTAGAATAATCTCGGAGCAAACCAGCAAATGAACGGGTCAAGCCAATAATACAACAGTTAGAAGCATTCAACGGTCACATCCATTCCACATGGCATCATCGCAGCCTTCAAAACACAATGAAATGGGTTGCGTGTTTCATTCAGATTGGGCTGGACTCCTCATTAATTTGGGTTTCATCATACGGCCATCAATAGGTTATCAATCTGGGCTACATCATTGGGTCCAAAATGGTTAAGCACCCAATATTTAACAATGTCCACCTTTCTTGACATTTTGGGTTTCATAGCAGATTGGAGGTTAACTCTTCCTTCAGTTTCATTTGCTCTATGTACCTGCAAAAAACACTAGTTAGAAATAACATTTAAGATATTCAAACAATTCCTAAATTTATATAAAAGAAGTATTTTTGTCCCCATGTCTGATGTATTACATTTAGTTGAAACCTTTTCAATTTTCATGATTTCCTTTTCTAAGATATCTCTTATAAAATGAAACTTAACATCTATATGTTTGGTTCTATCATGAAAAACAAGATTTCCACTAAGATGTATAGCAGATTGACTGTCTAAAATATAACAGCATTGTTACCAAAGAAACCGATGTCATCTAACAAGTTTTTCAACCAAATACCTTCATTTACTGCATCTGTAGCTGCAATATATTCAACATCTGTTGAAGACAAGGCTACAATCTTTTGTAGCTGTGATTTCCAGCTTATGCGGGTATCATTTAAAGTAAAAACATATGCAGAAGTAGATTTCCTATTATCACAGTTACCAAAAAAATCTGAATCATCAAAGCCTTTCAGTCTAATTCCAGTTTTACTCCTATTAAACATAAACCCTAAGTTAGAAGTCCCTTTTAAGTATCTTATCAACCATTTCATGGCTTCCCAATTATATTCACCAAGATTACTCATATGTCTACTCAAAACACTAATAGCAAAAGCAAGATCAGGTCTAGTACAGACTATTATATACATAACAGAGCCAACAACATTTGCATAAGGAACCTTCTCTATTCTATTTTTCTCAATTTCAATTTTAGAACATTGTTCTACTGAAAATTTAAAGTGACTGCCAAGAGATAAAGTGACATCTTTAGCATTTTCCATAGAAAATCTACATAGTATTTTTGAAATATAAGACTGTTGAGTAAGAAACAGATTATGATCACTTATATTTCTTCTAATTTTCATTCCTAGAATCTTTTTAGTTTCTCCTAAATCTTTCATTTTAAATTCATGTTTTAATTTTTGCTTAATAATATCAATTTTAGTCATATCACACTCAGCTAGTAACATATCATCAGCATATAGTAAAAGATAATAAGAATCAGGGCCTCCATTACCCTTATAGTAAAAACATGGATCATATTTAATTCTATTGAAATCAAGTCTTTTATAAATGTATCAAACCTGATATACCATTGCCTGGGGACTTGTTTCAAACCATAAAGTGATTTTTGTAAAAGACCCACATAGTTCTCTTTTCCTTTTTGTTCAAAACCTTTTGGTTGAGTCATATAAATTTTCTCATCCAAATTTTCATGTAGAAAAGCAGTTTTAACATCTAACTGTTCTAATTCAAAATCAAATTTTGAAACAATAGAAAGTAAGACTCTTATAGAAGTGTATTTGACTACATGAGAAAGATTTTATTGTAATCAATTCCCTCTCTTTGGTTAAAGCCCTTAGCAACTAANATTCCCTCTCTTTGGTTAAAGCCCTTAGCAACTAATCTGACCTTAAATCTTACATTTTCACCTTTTGAATCACCTTCTTTTAATGTATAGGTCCGTTTGGAATCAATAACCCTTTCCCCTTTAGGTTTATTCACTAATACCCAAGTCTTATTTTTGCTTAATGAAAGCATTTCATCTTTCATGGCATCAAACCAAAGACTTGCATACTTACCATTAATGGCTTCTTCATATGAATTAGGCTCATTATCCAAAATTTTTTTGAACATTCAAAGCTGTAATAAAATCAGAATCATTATATCTTGTTGGTTGTCTTATTTCTCTTCTCATTCTATCCCTTGTAAGATGATAATCTCTTAAAGAGTTTTCTGATTGATCAAGTTCAGGTTCAACAACATGTTCTAGTTCAATTTCAGGTTCAGGTTCATTATTTAGTTCATGGCCAAGCTCCACCTCAAACTAATCAACATTTCCAGACTTTAAATCTGTCTGAAAAAGTTCATATTCAACTACAGTTTTGTTTTGATCAGTTTCAGTTGTAGCAATTTCTTTTTCTTTAATGCAAGGCATATCTAACTCATTAAAAATAACATTCCTGCTGATTATAACCTTATAATCTCCATGTTCTTTCAACCAAACTCTATAGCATATAACAATTTCACCATAACTTAAGAAAATGCCCTTAACAAATATGGGCTCAAGTTTCCCTTCATTTTGATGAACATAGGCAGCACACCCAATTATTTTCAGTTTAGAATAATCATTCCAAACATGGTTAGGTGTGTCATATTTTAAGGTTTTAGTGGGACACTTATTTGTAAGAAAAGAGGCAGCTTCTCCCCAAAATAATTTTGGAAGACCAGAACTTATCAACATGCATCTAACCTTTTCTAACAAAGTCATATTCATCATTTCTGCAGGCTCATTCCGCTGCGGAGTATAGGTTACAGTCCTATGTCTAAGGATTCCATTAGTTTTGTAGAAACTATCAAACTCTTCATTACAAAATTCAAGGTCATTATCAGTTCTAAATGTTTTAACACTATTATTTACTTGATTTTCAATAGGAGTTTTCCATTTTACAAATTTTTTGAAGGTGTCAGATTTGTTTTTCAAAAGAATGACCCAACTTTTCTTTGAAAAATCATCTACAGTAAGCAAGAAATACTTAAAACCAGAATATGTGCACACAGATGCTGGTCTTCACAAATCAATGACCCAACTTTTCTTTGAAAAATCATCATAAATGAACGGGTCAAGCCAATGATACAAACAGTTAGAAGCATCCAACGGTCACAAGCATTCCACATGGCATCATCTCAGCCTTCAAAACACAATGAAATGGGCTGCCGGGTTGCATTCAAATTGGGCTGGACTCCTTATTAATTTGGGTTGCATCATAGGGCCATCAATAGGTTATCAATTTGGGCTACATCATTAGGCCCAGAATGTTGGTTTTCTTTGGGGGGTGGGGGGTTATTGCCCCTGCTATCCATGCACTCACAATGGGGAGAGGGATTGATTAGAAATCATGTTTGGACATAAGACCGTGTCAAAAGCTTAAAATATTGAAGTTGACAGATGAAAAAAGAAAAAACAATTTCTATCAAACTGTTCTTAATTTTTTTTTTTTCAATCTGTCAACCTATCTGTCTAAGGAGGTGTACAAATAGCAAAACTCTAAAATATTTATAAATTGAATGCTTTAAAGGACTAGTTATTCTTAGTCATACATACCTTTTGGCTTCATTTGTAGTAAATCTTAACTTTTTTGGGAGATATTTAATTATCCGAACGTACACCTCAGGCTTCTTCTCTCTAGTCTTCAGCTTTAAGATGGGTTGAATGCGCAAGTTTATTGAAATTTGATCGACTTTCTTAAATATAATCTGGTTAGTATAACATTGATCGCCACTTGTTTCAAGCACCAAGAGGAAAGCGAAGAAAGGCCCCTACTGGTATATTTTACTAGCCATGTGCACATGCAAACACAATGTGCGGTATTACTTTTCACTTAAATTTTTACATGACGCTCACTCTTTCGTGTACAAACTCCAGGGAAATCAACTGGCACAAGGAGATTCAAACCTTGGTATCAATAGGCGAGCTGCATCCTTCTTAGAAGGTGGTTCTGTGGATATCCCTGAGTTCTTGAAGAAGAAAGGATGCTCTCGCTATCCAAGAACTTGAAACCGGGCTTCAATTTTTCGATTCTTTTATAGTCCCTTTACAGTAGTCTTCTGTCTTGATCTCACGGTTTCAGGCTGCTATGTCATGTCTGTATAGAATTTTGGCTTTGAATGAAATGCAATTTTAGCATTGAGAAGAATTGAGCACGGACTTATCTTAATAAAGCATAATGGATATGTGGATTCAAACACTTCTTTTTATTGCTAACTATTAAACCCTGAACTTGAAACCAAATCTCAAAACAAGACATAGAGTAGTGTAAAATTGCCCTCGAATCAGAGCTGCCATTGTTAGAGAATCAAGATCAGACGGATTTGAAGCATAGTTCTGAAAAAGCAATGAAGCAATCGAAACAGAAGAGAATCGACAGGACAGAATCAGGATTGGGTTCCGCATATGAAAAGTGAGGGGTTGAGATGACGGGTCAGGTCGGTATGGTATAGCTTCCATATATCTGGGGACGGAAGAATTTGCTCAAGTATTGGATTGATCGCAGTGCTTCTGATGGTTCATTAGTAAGTAAAAGAATTATGTCAAGGAAGAGAAAATTCCCACAGAATACAGAAAAGTCGTTGAATGAGCAACGTCCGAGTTGTTGAGCAGCAGTTTCGAGTTTTTAGTGAAATTATAGAAGTCGTCAATAAGAAAAATAAGGAAACTGCAATAATTTGGCTTTATTCAAATGCCGATTGTGATAAATGCAATAAACATTTTTATTACATGACTCGTATGCTCAGACAATTTCCTCGAAACTCAAAAGAGAGTCTATACAAAGTAAAAGAAACATATACAGATATGTCCTGCAAAATATAAATATAACGAGACATCAACTTCCACAATTACAGGCATCCAGATTTCACCTGATGCAGAAGTTAGGAGACAGCCAAGAGTACTTTCCCATCTACATTTCTACTAAATCCACTTACTCTTGTAAGTGTACAACAAATCAGCGCAAAAAATGAATTGTTTTTCGTTAGGGCAGAACAGGCATACGCCTATAGCTGAATAATCATCTCTCCAGAAGATAAAGAGAATGCAAAATTACTACTTCACCATAAAGGAGCTTTTACAGCTGCAGCCACCCACAGCACTTGGATTTGCGGACACCTGCATATACACAACTTCACTTACTGCTTCCAAGTACAAAATGATATAGGCAACTGAATAGCGATTGCAATAAACAAAAACATTTCTTGAGATTCAACAGCTCAAAGCATGTCTGTTTAAGACTAAAAATAAGTAACTTTTGTTTCCAAACACCTATGGACAACTTAATTTTTCTTGCTAAAGATACTTATTTGAAATTGACTCTTAACCTTCAAAATAACTTAAAGGGCTATTCTCTTTGTGCTTCGGTTTTGTGTTTTGAATTTTGAATTCATTTTGTGTTTCGTGTTTTGAGTATCCATTTTGAAATTCTTAAAAATGTGTTCTTTTTGGCATTTTGAAAACACCAAAAACGCATTTTGAAAATTGACTTGATTATAACTGAAAACACCCTAAAACACCCAAAATGATATCGTTTTGGGTTTTTATTATAAATTTTTAACTTGTTTTCAAAAACGCGTTTTTGAAAATGGGATAGACAACGCATTTTTACTGTTTTGGAAAATCGAAAAGAGAAAACGGCTTCAAAATGGTAAAGAGAACAGACCCTTACTTGTTTAGCCCATTTTTGTTAGGGATCAAAATTCAGATTTCATCTAAGTCAAAATCAACAATTAGCTTATGTTTGGCCCCCATTTTTACAAAAACTCATTTTTTCAAAACTCATTTCAACTATATATTCTCCCATAAAATAATTTTACACGTAAACCGAAATTTTTTATTTTTTTTTTTAACCACATATTCTTCAAAAAATCATTATTCCAAATACATTTTTTTTACCAAAATGGGGCTCAAACAAAGACTAAATTTTAACCACATATTTCATGAAATCCACAACTTTTCAACACATTTCATCAGCTTTTATCAAAATCTATTAAAAATCTAATTTTAATTCCCACCAAATAGAGGCATAATATGTTTTCTACAGCAACTACCACAAGGATTGATGAAATGGGCTAATTTGCAAGAGTGAACTCCATAAACACCGAGACAAGCATGTTGACCAGTTTTTTGGCCATCTACTTCAAGCCACATAGACACTAATATCTCAACACGCAGACTAATACTCGTAAATTTCTTCATGTGCCATTCTCACACTAGCTGACTGAATATGTCTAGAAAAGGAAACAGTTGAGTGCATAGCTCCAAACAAGTAGATTTAAATAGACAAATACTTCGAGTGTTTACTCATTAATTCTTGATTTCTTGAGATTATTTATATTGTCAAGCTCCTCAGAGGAACAATACACAATATCCAATCCCAATCATACGCTAACAAGTTGACATTCAATTGGAAAATATTCTTCGAAATGTAGTTAAGAAAAGAAAACAGTTTGCTCTCACAATATCACCATTGAACCTCACTTACTTTCCCAGTTGAATGAAAGCACAATCGAGGGGACTGAAAATTCCCAAATCTTTACCTTTTACATCTAATTCTTGTTGTCATGTGGTGAAAATAGTAATTTGTTGTGAATATACCTGAAAAGCAGATCGGATCAACTCCTCTACATAATCAATAGTTGCGCCTTTCACAAAGTCGTATGAAATATTATCAACCACCAATTTAACTCCATCCCGCTCAAAAATTCTGTAAATGCCAGAGAGCAATCGATAAAAATTTTAGGATTCATCATCTAATATAGATCAAAAATTGTTTTACTTGATGAATTTGTTGCAGAGCAACAATACAACTACTAACAACCTAAGTAAAAAGTGTATAGAACCTGTCTTCATCATTGGTCTTATCGTCAAGTAAGAAGTTATACTGGAACCCAGAGCATCCGCCAGCTTCAATGCTCAAGCGCAGTAACTTTCCATTAGCCTCACTGGCTTGCAACTCTTTCATCCTCTGTAAAATATCAGTAAAATAATGACTCATATCGTTTTATCACTAATATAAAAAATGTTTAGCATTACAAGTATGCAATTGTGGACTATGCAAAGATCATCACCGCAACAAATTGCAAACAATACCAGATGTGTGTGTGTGTGTGAGCAAGCCTGAATGTGAAAGAGGGGAATTGAACCCAGCACTGGACTTGCTCCATTCCTTTTTGTTCAGAAGCCAAGAAATATTAGTATCAAAGCATTTCTTAGAATCCGGCTAAGTAGAACTAATTTCATTTTCTTTTTGATAATCATTTCACTTATAAATACTGATGTGCATGCACCTATGCACATTTTTTTACTCTTGCACTTCTGCAGACAATCACATCAATCACAACTTTCCCTTTGGATCAATTAACTCAACTCTCAAAATCTAAGTCAATGGGAGCATGACTTAACCAAATCATAATTACTGAAAAGATTATTTCGATTCATTACAATAGTCACTACGAGCCTCATGGAAAATGTAGAATGCTAAATACTATCGGGAGCAATTTGAAATACTCAAGCAATCAGAAAATACCAAAATAATGGACACATCTAAAGCTATTTTTTAAAATTTGCAGGCCGAGTCTGCTTGGATTTTATTATAAAAGAGTTGGAGAGTTGTATTTAAAAGTTGAAGGCATTTTCCCAATTTTTTTATCTGTTGAAGTGGTAGAAATAATTTAGTGCTTGTTTGGTTAAAATTATAATGAGTAATGGGTCAAGCGAAATGTGTGGATAATAAGTGGGTAGTTCTGAATGTTTGGTCAAAATTAATGTCTCTAACTTTGACCTCAAATTGTAATAAGCATTTACTTCACCTAAGCCAATTTTAATTTCTGCCTCCAAACAATATTTTGAAGATATTTTAATCCACTTGAAGCAAAACTCCAATTCGGCTCTCTCACTCCATCTGCAATACATAAAATGGAAAAACAAAATAAAAATAAAATAAATCCCCAATTTTACTCTCTGTTGGTTAACCTTCTTTCAATATTCACAGGAGGAAAAAAAAACAAACAGATCACAACAAATTCCAATTACAATTCCGTTGCAATAGTAAATTGGTGCCACAAAAAGAAAAAACAATGGCTTCCATAAGCAAAAAATTGGATTCTTTAATAAAATTTCCAATGCCACAATCCCTAATCCCAGCAATCTCAAGAAATGAAGAATACAAACAGGTCAATGAATCAAAATAAAATGCACGAGAACTTTACGTTATTCGGCATGCTTTAGATACCCAAATTCACGATAGCCCTATTGAGGCCCTCTATGCTAAGCCATGATATTTAGGTTACATTTACAGGTTAAAGATTCGCAAACCTTTATACAAAAAAATGGAAGAAACAGATGCAAGAGTCACTCAAGACTTCTATCAAACACCTTGAGACCATTTCCTGATTCCACCCTTCTTTAAAGTCTCCATCTGTGTGGACCAGAAATGATGAATAAATCTACTGCAACTGAATAGACTCCATACCTATCTAAATGACACATTATCGAAAGGGAAAAATAACATACAGCTTATGAAAATATGATACTAAACCCTATTGAAACACGCCTTTGGCAACCAACTGAAGCAGCACGGATGAACAAAACAAAAAACGAGAACTTTCACCCCCAAAAATCAACAACATCAACAAATCCGTGACACCAAATATCAACCATAATTAGCAAAAAAAAAAAAGAAAAACTCCACCAATAAGACTACAAGGCTTCGAAATAAATCAAGAAGAAATCAGGTGAAGATAGGGAGAGTACCCGAACGCAACTGTCGGTCAAATGAACGACATCGAGAGAATGAGACTCCGATGAGGAAGGTGTTGGTTGAGGTTCGCGGAGGGCCGAGGACGATGCCGGCGCTGAGCTGAGAAGCCGGTAGTTCTGTCGAATCCGGGCCGAGAAGTACGGCGTAAGCCGACGAAACAACGACTGAGACGAAGTCGTCATGGCTTCTCCAAATCCTTCTTCTTCAAAAGCACGTAATTATCTCTCTTTCTATTAATCAAAAGGATTGATATGAAAAACTGCGATTGTTTTCAAGAAAATTTCAGTTTCAATTTTTTCTTCAAACGAATCGTTGAATGGAAAAAAATGGAAGGTTGTGTGCCAAACACGGTATCCCACATTTTCCGCATATATCCTATCGGCAGATGGTATAACCCGGATAAAATGGGTCGGATTTGGATCCATCTAACCTGGCCCGTTTGTTGTAACTTGATTTTAATGAGGAAATTACACCAAACCATGTCTTTTCTTTTACATTTTAAAAATTCAGGTTT